TTAGCAGCCTTGGGGCAGAGATAACAACATTCAGGGCTTGTTTCTTCCCAGAGAAGACATTTGACCAAAGCAAGGAGAAAGTACAACAGGGCCTCACTCGAGCAGGCATAAGAAAGGACTAACATTCGGAGAGGCAGCTGAAATACCCAGGACTAGACAGCATGAAAATGTGCAGTTTGAAATGTTTCAGCCAGCTGTAGAGATTGGGCATGGCTTCAATCAAGGCTAACATCCAATGGCACAGGATGAAATGAGCCCTTCTAAACACGCTGGGCCCACGGTTCCCAGCTCTAATTAATTAACACAACTGGATCCCCCTCCCACTCCATACAGGCACTGCTACAGCAATGAAGTGAGCCTTCACCACCCTTTGGACACCTCACAGCATTTGTTTGATAGAGCTATAGTTACAGGATAAACACTCACCAGAAACAAGCATGACTAAATTCCCCTACAGATTTTTCTTTAAATTGTTTTTATGTCCCCAGACTTCCTTAGGCAGCTGGCTAGCATTCCCAGACTGACAGATGGGAGTCATCTCACTTCATGGCACTCAGATGCTATTTATGGCCTCAAGCACAGCATAGAATCCCTCAGAGAAGAGGGATGTGGATCCAGACGTACTCAGGAGTTACAAGTCATTTGAAATCAGTGGGGTAGCTCAGGATGTTCACGTGTGGGGTGGCAGGACTGCTCTCCCATGGCTTCCTGGCCAATGCCTATGGACCTCAGCCATGAAGCTTTCCCACAAGCCAAAGGAAGAAAGGCCCGGGGGTAATTAGCTAATCTCCCTTTGTTGCAATCTCATTCAAAGCACATAATAGTGTTAATAAAAATAGTTTTTCCCATGGCAGAAAATGGATTTAAGCAAAAAAGAAATTACTTCAGCCTGCATATCGCACCATGGGGAAAAGTATCAGTGATCTTGTATCAGCATTAAACACAGACACTACTCCACCCCTCAGAGGCCACAAGTAGGAGAGGGTTTCAGGCCTCCTCATAGATAGTCAGCTCAGTCAAAGATAGAGGCACAAGTTTTTGGCTAAAGAGGTTATACCCTTAGTTCAAATAGACTCAAAGCTGAAATCATGTCACAACCTGTCCTGAGGAAACATTTAAGCATTAATCAAGAATTAGAGAAAGGGAAGTAATTTAGAGTACTTTAAAATTTTGGTTTCCGAAGGAAGTAAGGTGGCTTAATTACATACTCCACGTGCACGTAGGCACATTCCCACCCCCACTAAGGACCTTTGAATCCATAAGCCAAGCCCAAATCAGTTTGACAGTGATGGAGGCCTCAAGGTAGTTTAAGTTCCTACAAGTGCTGAGAAAATGGACAGATGGAGGAGAGAGACTAAAACCACATTAGTGTCTTGACTCCAAGAAGAACTGCAAGAGGCACTCAGGCACAGAAGGCACACGAGAATTTTTTTTGGTCTACTTTTGGCCACCAGGTAGGGTTTCTGCTGTGTAATAGCATCCAACACCATAAATGAAGCTTTCAAAAGTGTCAGGACATCTGTAGTAGCTCTCATGTGGATAAAGTCCACCGACTAGAAGGAAGTTTTTAACAGGTTAAATAGAGATACTGAAGCAGAAGGTGATATCTGAAGATAAGATTAGAAAAATTCCATCTGGAGAACAACATAGAAGGCACATAACCTGGGAGTCTATAGACAAACATTACAAGACCAGTAACATTATAAAGGGCATTTGGATGATCCAAATTCTCCAGCACTTCCTGTCACACCATGTTACTCCTTATGCTTGAGCTGTAGAAGGAATTTGCAAAGAACAAGTGCTTTCATGATCCCAAGATCAAAAGATAACACGTTCTCACTGTTAAATGTATTTACCTAGGGATCTGCCAAAACTGCCAATCCAGGCCCTATGCTGTGCAGCAGTTTTGTTAAAGCTGCAGCTCCTGGAATCGTGTGTTTATGTGAGAGTCTCTGACAATACTGGGGGGGGAAAAAAAAACAAACAAACAGAAATGTGACACTCCCAAAAAACTTGTCCACCAGCAGGCAACTGAAAAACATACAAAACTAACACTATCCTGCGTACTTGTGTGTGGGCAGCCCTTGGCTTATGCAGTTGAGATGTCTGGGGCTTGCAGCAGCTCTAAGGCTGTGAGGTTCCCAGGACCAGCACAAGGACACAGGGGCAAGGAGCATCAAGCAGCATCCCTGGCTGGGGCACGGACTGCATGAGCAGTAAGCAACAGCCTGCTTGCAGAGGGAGAGCTGTCTGTCAGACACAAAGACATGCTCTTATCCAAGCATCCACGACCCACTCTGCCTTTGTCAGTAGTACAGAGGAGTGTGACTATATTAGATCTTTCCAGACATCCCTTCAGTTGGCATCTGCAGCCAGATTGGGAAGTGCCTGCCTCACCCTTCCTGTGAGCCATGGCACTGCCTCAGTGCCCCCACACTGGGCCTGTCCTGCAGTGGGCTGTGGTCAGCAGCCAGCAGGGGTATCAGCAGCACTCACTTTGGTCTGAGGCTGGGGTATGGAAGCTCCCAAGCCTCCAGTCAGGAGATTCAAGAGCAATATTTTCCCACCATGATAGTTAAATTGCTTTGTCTGCACAGATACCAGCCTCACTCCCCTTCCTCCTTCCTTTGCAAAGGTGTGTCTCCAGAGGGGCTGGCAGGGTGACTAGCCCAAGCTAAAAATGGATCAGCAACTCCTAAACTTCTCTGCCAGAGGATTGCTTCTGAACACAGAGAGGTTTCACCTTGCTTCACTTCCAAAATTAAGTATTTCTGCCAAAAGCCCCCTCCCTACCTCACATTATCTCCTCTATATGAACAGTCTCCAAGTGGCTTTAGAGGTGCCAGGGGGCTTTCCCTGTTACCCTGGCCCTCCCAGGGGAGCTGCTAGCTGTGGTGCCAGGCTGTGGGGACGGGGAAAACTTCCCCATGCCAGGGCAGGAAGCAGATCAGCATTTCCTACTGCCCCGGCTGCAGGCTGCGTCATGGGGAATTATCTGGGAAAACAATGGCCCCTTCCTCCCTCTCCTTCTGCTCACACCAGGCCAACGCTCAGCAATGCTGAAACCCTGCCTGTGAAATGCTCACAGCTACGTAAGCCACCACCTTCGTGGCCAGGGTCAGCCAGTGGCTCCTGGCACGGGCAGATGCAGCCTTGCCACGCACCAGAGGTGGACATCACTACCACTGTAGGACCTGCTTGGTGCAAGAATCGGAGCATGGGACTTCAGGGAAATAGTCATCTCTCAGTTTAACAGTTGGATGATGGACAGCTCGCCCAGGATATGCCACCTCCATCTGCTGAGCTGAGGCACATCCCATGCAGCAGGGGCATGGATCCCCCTGGATGCCCCCACATGCCCTCGTGCAGGATGGGGGCAGTCTGAGGTGAGGCTGGGCTCTCGGGTCCCATCCACTGCGTGGTGACGCCCATGCATCCAAGGCCATCCTGGCTGCACTGACCTCACCACCACCAGGAACAGGAAAAACCTGGAGGCTTTCTGTACTGACTAAATAAACCAAACCAAGATGCGAGGGGCAGCCTCTCCCCTAACCAAGGTTTTTCTCTCCTTGTAGCACAGCCTGAAAGCAGCCATTAGGTCTGGAGCCTCAGAGGTGCTGGCCACTGCCCTGCTGCCACTGCACCCCCACTCCCCTGCCTGCTCCCTGTCCCTTCCCAAGCCACCTCGCCACAACCCCTGGAGAAAAGGGTGGTGGAGTATGGGGCTGGGAGCTGCCTGAAGCCACCAAAACCTAGTTTCAGGTGTAGAGTTGTGATTTAGACATTGGCTGAAGCTTGGTAGTCAGGGAATTCACCCCAACCTCACGTTACAAACTAAAAAAATTAACACCCTGGCTCTGCACTTGCAGCAAGAAGTGGAAGCCCCCATGGCCACACAGGCCCCTGAAGCAGCTGAGCAAGCCAGCAAAACCCACTGCCCCAACCAGATCCCAGAAACGTGGGATGTTTTGGCATCCCAAGTCAGAGCCCAGAGGCTCAGGGCAGGCAATCCTGGATTACACACCACAAGAGCCACGCCAAAAGCAAACAAGATTAAACAACTCTCGGCATAAATGTTTACTGAGCTCTAAGAAAACGGGCCCCTGACCAAGCCT